AACATAAATGATCTGATGAAGCTGAAAAACACAGCAAGAGAACTTCATGAAGCATATACAAGTATCAATAGCCAAAACAATCAAGCAGAAGAAATGATATCAGAGATTGAAGATCAACTTAATAAAATAAAGCATGAAGACAAGATTAGAGAAAGAAGAATTAAAAGGAATGAACAAAGCCTCCAAGAAACATAAGATTATGTAAAAAGACCAAGCCTATACTTGATTGGTGTACCTGAACCTGACGGGGAGAACTGAACCAAGTTGGAAAACACAGTTCACAAGATTATCCAGGAAAACTTCTCTGTTAGCAAGACAGGCCAACATTCAGGAAATACAGAGAACATCACAAAGATACTTCTTGAGAAGAGCAACCCCAAGACACAATTGTCAGATTCATCAAGGTTGAAAAGAAGGAAAAAATGTTAAGGGCTGCAAGAGAGAAAGGCCAGATTACCCACAAAGGGAAGCCCATCAGACTAACAGCAGATCTGCAGAAACTGCAAGCCAGAAGAGAGTGGGGGCCAATATTTAACATTCTTAAAGAAAAGAATTTTCAATCCAGAATTTCATATCCAGCCAAACTAAGCTTCATAAGCAAAGGAGAAATAAAATCATTTGCAGAAAAGCAAATGCTGAGGGGATTTTGTCACCACTAGGCCTGCCTTACAAGAGCTCCTGAAGGAAGCACTAAATACAGAAAGGAAAAACCAGTACCAGCCACTGCACAAACCAACCAAAATATAAAAACCATTGACTCTATGAGGTAACTGCATCAACTAATGGGCAAAATAACCAGCTAGCATCATAATGACAGGATCAAATTCACACACAGCAATATTAACCTTAAATGTAAATGGGTTAAATGTTGCAATTAAAAGGCACAGATTGACAAATTGGATAACGAGTCAAGACCCATTGGTGTGTTATATTCAGGAGACCCATCTCACGTGCAAAGACACATATAGGCTCAAAATAAAGGGATGGAGGAATATTTATCAAGCAAATAGATAGCAAAATAGCAACAACAACAAAAAAAAACTGGGATGGCAATCCTAGTCACTGATAAAACAGACTTGAAACCAACAAAGATAAAAAAAGACAAAGAAGGGCATTACATAGTGGTAAAAAAAATCAACCACATAATTGGAAGTAAAGCACTCCTCAGCAAATGCAAAAGAACAGAAATCGTAACAACAGTCTCTCAGACCACAGTGCAATTAAATTAGAACCAGTACTTAAGAAACTCACTCAAAACTCACTGCACAACTACATGGAAACTGAACAACCTGCTCCCGAATGACTACTGGGTAAATAACGAAATTAAGGCAGGAATAAAGATGCTCTTTGAAACCAATGAGAACAAAGACACAGTGCCCAGAGTATCTGGGACACAGCTAAAGCAGTGTTTAGGGGGAAATTTATAGCACTAAATGCCCACATGAGAAAGCAGAAAGATCTAAAATTGACACCCTAACATCACCTAAAAGAACTAGAGAACCACGAGCAAACACATTCAAAAGCTAGCAGAAGACAAGAAATAACCAAGATCAGAGCAGAACCGAAGGAGATAGAGACATGAAAACCCCTTCAGGAGCTGGTTTTTTGAAAAGATTAACAAAATAGACCACTAGCCAGGCTAATAAAGAAGAAAAGAGAAGAATCAAATAGACACAATAAAAAATAATAAAGAGGAGATCACCACTTATGCCACAGAAATAAAAACTACCATCAGAGAATACTATAAACACCTCTATGCAAATAAACTAGAAAATCTAGAAGAAATGGATGAATTTCAGGACACAGACATTCTCCCAAGACTAAATCAGGAAGAAGTCAAATCCCTGAATAGACCAATAACAAGTTCTGAAATTGAGAAAGTCATTAATAGCCTACCAAACAAGAAAAGCCCAGGTCCAGACAGATTCACAGCTGAATTCTACCAGAAGTACTAAGAGGAGCTGGTACTATTCCTTCTGAAACTATTCCAAACAATAGAAAAAGAGGGACTCCTCCCTAACTCATTTTATGAGGCCAGCATCATTCTGATACCAAAACCTGGCAGAGACACAACAAAATAAGAAAATTTCAGGCCAATATCCTTGATGAACATCAATGTGAAAATCCTCAATAAAATACTGGCAAACCAAATCCAGCAGCACATTAAAAAGCTTATCCACCAAGATCAAATCAGCTTCATCCTGGGGATGCAAGGCTGGTTTAACATACACAAATCAATAAACATAATCCATCACATAAACAGAACCAACGACAAAAACCACGATTATCTCAATAGACGCAGAAAAGACTTTGATAAAATTCAACACCCCTTCACTCTAAAAACACTCAATAAACTAGCTATTGATGGAATATATCTCGAAATAATATGAGCTATTTATGAAAAACCCACAGCCAATATCATACTGAATGGGCAAATGCTGGAAGCATTCCCTTTGAAAATCAGCACAAAACAAGGATTCCCTCTCTCACCACTCCTATTCAACTTAGTATTGGAAGCTCTGGCCAGAGCAATCAGGCAAGAGAAAGAAATAAAGGGTATTCAGACAGGAAGAGAGGAAATCAAATTGTCTCTGTTTGTAGATGACATGATTGTATATTTAGAAGACCCCATCATCTCAGGCCAAAAACTCCTTAAACTGATAAGCAACTTCAGCAAAATCTCAGGGTACCCAATCAATGTGCAAAAATCACAAGCATTCCTATACAATAATAATAGACAGAGAGCCAAATCATGAGCAAACTCCCATTCACAATTGCTATAAGAGAATAAAATACCTAGGATTACAACTAATAAGGGATGTGAAGGACTTCTTGAAGGAGAACTACAAACCACTGCTCAAGGAAATAAGAGAGGACACAAACAAATGGAAAAACATTCCATGCTCATGGATAGGAAGAATCAATATCATGAAAATGGCCAGACTGCCCAATTTATAGATTCAATGCTATTCTCATCAAGCTATCATTGACTTTCTTCACAGAATTAGAAAAAAAAACTGCTTTAAATTTCATATGGAACCAAAAATTGTATTGCAAAACAAGTTACAAAACATGTGTACCATATAATGACATGTATGCAAATTTTAAGAACTAAAGACCATATATGCCTTGTTTATATAAAAGAGTACATTAGTATTTTATTGCTAACAAAGGCACCCAGGATCAAGCAAGAAGAGGGAATGTCTCTCCTGACATCAATCTTAAAGTTTTGACATGTCTGGTTTTTCCAACTAGCTGTACATTACTGTCATTCATAAATTTCACAAATCCTTCTTGACCCATATAAAAAATTTGTGCCTATACCATTACTTGAAATTCATTAAGTCCCATAATTATCTTTTTATTTGTCCTAAACGAATCCTAAACTTATCAAAGTTTGCCTCTTTTTCTAGAATTACAGAATTTCCTGAATAAGCCTATGTTTAACTTAACCAGCGTCTTTTTAGATTGAAGATCATTCACCCTTTTGGTCTACACTCCTTTAGCAGAACTGCCATTTTTCCTCTCAGTCTAGTGGACCTTCTCTGGTTAGTCCCTATTTCCATTAGATCTTTTCTAAAAGGTCTAATTGCCAAAACTGCACACAAGGCACATGATGAGGAAATATTACAGATTTACATACAGGTAGGATAAGCATCTGGTTCGTCTTCAATAACTCTCAACAATGCTAAATGCTATGTTGTGATTTTTCTCATTAGAGTACTAAGCTGCTGTTTTCTACACCCATAATAACTACTAGGTCTCTTTTCTGAGTTACAGTTTCAAATGATTTAGAACTATTTTAGATTCCTTCTGAATATTTCCCTTACCTATTTTAAAACCAGTTAACAACCTTTGTTGTTGTCCAAGAACACAAATTTTGGAGACCTTCCTAGAGCTATCATCTGTAGCTCTGCCTTACTATTCAGAGTCATTACTCTAGTTCATCTTTACAAAGATGTTAAAGAATTCCAGTCCTAGCACTGATCTCAAAGACCTGATCAACTATTGACATTTTTTAATCTATGAAATTATGCTTTTATCCCTAGGACCTCCCTCCAGAGCCTTTGTTTCCTCCAGATCCCTTTTCCCAATTCCAAGGTAATTTAGCAGATCACTCATTCATTCAAGAAATCTTTACTGACATCCACTCTGTGCTAGGCACAGAAATAGGTGTTAGGACTACAGCAATAAAAACACAAGATCCCTGCCCTCAAGAATTTCAGACTGTATCATATTCACTAATGATCCTTTTTTTTAACCTGCCTATTTTATTCCTCAAAAACACTAGTCAGGCACCATTTCTTTATTCACACATTATTTGCTTTTCCCTAAAAGAATATTTACTGATGTTTCTGGTGTTAACATTCAATGGATTAACCCATGCAAAGATGAGACAGAATCACCTACATATTCTCAAATCTTTTTTGACCTGCACTAAAATTCAGTAGCCACTGGCCCCAAATGCCTATTTAAATTTAGATTAATTACAATTAAATAAAATTACAACTTCAGTGAAATAAAAGAAACATTCAGTTTCTCAGTTGCAACAGCCACATTTCAAGTGCTTTATAGCCACAGGGGGGCTAGTGGCTATCATCTTGGGCAGCACAGACTTGGACCATTTCCATCACTGCAGAAAGTTCTTTTGAACAGCAGTGGTCTAGAGAATTCTCATATAAGGAGTCACACGGTGGCCATATTAAAAAAAAATAGGTCATATACTTTGGCAAATAATTACTCCCTTCTTCAATATTCACATAATACCACCTGCTACTAGTAAGTTATTTATATTCTTTTTGTCAATATGGTCTAAACTAGCTTAAATACTGACTAATGAATATTATTTTAATTATAATCTAAGTCAAAATATCATTCCTTTTCATTTTATGTGAGCTGCAGAATATATGACTGGAATCCATAATGAAAATACCTAAATAATAGTAATAATGAAAATACCTAAATAATAGTAATAATGACAATAATCAATGCAACATGGAAACATCTTAAAGAAACTTACCCTCCTTCACTTTCTGCTTCCTCTGAACTATTACTTGTTGCTGAACTTTGAATTGTGGGGAGCCTTCTTTTTCTTGCTCTGTGCTGAGGGCTTATCTTATGAACAGTTACTTTCCCTCCAAGTTCATCTTGTATATATTCCTCCAGCTTTGGAATAGCTTCTTTAAGAAATCTGATTTCCTCTTTGAGTTCTTCCATATTTGTCAGTAATTCATTTAACTTCTCCATTATCTGAAGTTGCCTTTCTTGAAAGATCACTGTTGTTCCTTGGTCATTATGTATTTCATCTTGCAAAGTTATTGAATTAAATGTATTACCCAGAGAAAGAAATTTAGGTAAATTCATTGCTATCCCAGGTTTACGGACCTTGTGGTACCACAAGAGCAGCAAGCTGATTCCAGCAGTTCCCACCATGATGCCAAGTATCAGTTCTTTGCTCGTGGAATGAGGCATTTCTTGGTTTTGGTTTCTAAAACTAAAAACATAAATGTAAATGAATGTCATTTATGTCTTTGTCCAAGACAAAAATATAGGTGCTTTTTCAATCAACACAAACCAAGTTTACATCACAGGATTTAAAAAAAGTAGGACAATAGCCCAAAGGATGGGAAGGGACAAATGGAAGTATACTGCTGTAAGAGTCTTAGATAACAACGAAGCATTATCATATTAAGTTAAACATGCATAGCTGTAAACCCTAGAATAACCACCAAAAAACAAAAATCCAAGGTAATACATAATAAGACAATAATAGAGATAAAAATGGAACACTAAAGATACTCACTTGGTCCAAAAGGCGGCAAAAAAAGGAGAAAAAAAGAACAGATGGGCAAATAGAAAAAAAACAGAAATTACACCATTATAAAATGGGAAAATGGTGCCAAAAGATCAAGAAGAGTTTTTGTTTGTCAACAGAAAGACCCCATAAAAAGAAAAGAAAAATTGATGAAATACAAGTACAGAAAACTGCACAGCAGTAAACTTGAGAAGACAAAGGAGATGGGCTCTGTTGCACAAGTACAGGGGTTGACCTTTGATGGGAACACAAACCATTCATTCATAGTAATAAAAGGCAGATTATGTGAGCAGAGATTTAGGTAGGTCGGTAGATACGGTGGTGGGAAGTTATGCAAGTTGTCTTTGATTGCTTCACTCTTTTAAGTGAGATAGGGAGAAAAGTAAATAGCTGGGAGTGAGAATTGGGGAAAAAATGTCAGTAAGATGAAAATTCTGAATTAGGTTATATACCTGAAATTCACCATCCTCTGCTTTATAGCCTATGATTCCACATATTCTAATCAAGCATTGTTTCTTACACTCTAAATGGCCAACTAAATGTTTCAAATGCTTCCCTGGTGGTCTAGTGGTTAGGGTTCGACACTCTCAAATGCCATATAGAAGAGGGTCTGAGAGAACAAGCAGCCATAATCTGTTTCTGAAAAGTCTGCTTAAAAGAAGACTATCTCTCTTTAGATTCCTATTTCACTAGATTACATGCCTGGAATACAGAAAGTATCCTATTTGGATGCTCTACACTTCATTACAGGCCTAAGTGTCAATGCAAACTGAATTTAAAACAAATCTTCTAGAAATTACCTCAAGTAGTGAATATCATACCCAAGAGATTTAAGAATACCTTCTTTTAAACCAAAGATTTCAGAGAAAGCCTTAATACTTAATCTGGCCTGCTTGACCTCAGAGAAATTTGTCTGGAATTAACTTAAAAAATTTTTTTCCACTTAATTGGTATAACTGGGAACTATAAGTCTAACCATCTGCTCACTCCCAGCTCATCCAGGAGATATGCCAGCAGCAGAATCTGATCAATTTGTAACTTCAGCTGAAATTGTAGCTAATTATTACTAGATGTATAAATGTATTTCGACAAAAAAAATTATATCATGAAACTAAACTATCTTGAAAGCTTATTGCAAAAAGATGATATAAGAAAAGTCACTCTATGCCCATTAATTACAACTGCATTACAGCTAATAATCACACATCAAGTTCAATCATCTTGATTTTTGTCAATCAAATTATTAAGGCAGGATGTCCATACACTGATCTAGAGATCTATTAGAGGGAATTTTCCTATTCTGATTGCTTTCTTTTGTTCATACCTTGGACTTCTACATTAAGAAATATAGTCTAGTTGGAAAATATTTTCATTTAATAAGAAAATAAGTAGCAGTAAAAATCTATCTAGGAAGGAGACCTTATTCTTGAGACAGGACCAGGTTTCAGCAGGTGGGAAAGAGTTGTATTTTGCTTGGCCCTTTCTTTAGAAACTGCAGCAATTCCAAATAATCTCTTCATGCAGGTCCTATTATTATTTTGCAGATAAGTGAACTAAGGCACACAGGTGTCAATTCTTTTACCCAATGATCATCCAACTAGGAAGTGAAAACTGTCACCTTTGACACCCTGTTCCTAACTCTTGGATGCACCCACAACATGTGGAAGATTTGGAAAGCATCAACAAGGAGGTGAAGGAGAATGCTGACTGAGCAGAGATGTTCAGAGCTGAAAAATTATTTCAGAACCAAGAAAACTAACTAGAAGAAAAACAGAACTAATGGAGCTAATATGTTTTAAATAAACATAATTAAAGATAAATCAAGCTATGTTTTTTACAGCAGTATAAAACGAATGTGCTTCGACACAGATAATTTTTTAAATGACACATTAAAAATAATGTACAAAATACATCAGAATACTTGCTTGCCTCCAGAATAATTTCAAAGGTTGTAGGAAGTCATCTACATAGCTTTTTTTTTTTTTTGAGACAGAGTCTCACTCTGTCACCTAGGTTGGAGTGCAGTGGTACAATCACTGCTCATTGCAGCATTGATCTCTTGGGCTCAAGCCATCCTCCTGCCTCAGCCTCCCTAGTAGCTGGGACCACAAGCGTGGGCAACCACGCCTGGCTAATTTTTAAATTATTTGTAGAGAGTGGGTCTCCCTGTGTTGCTAGGCTGGTCTGGAACTCCTGGGCCCAAGCAATTTTGCCTCCACCTCTCAAAGCGCTGGGATAGCGGCATGAGCTACGGCCTCCAGCATTTTCAGCTTTCATGCTTCTAATTATGTTAATAGCATACACTTGTATCGTAGTACAAAAATATAGTAATTAAAAACTTTACCAAATGGATTTTAGAACTCTAATAATCAGATGCAAAGTACTATTTGTTGCGTTTCAATCTGTAAGGTGCTAGTAAATAACAATGGAAAATGGCAATACAGATTATGGCACCCAAAATTAACGTGTCAAAGGTTATTAACAGAGATGAGAATAAAATATTCTAAAATGATATCGAAATGTTGACTCTGAAGAAAATTAGAACATGAAAACGAAATGTTTTCTGAATATTTGAAGAGACGTTTTATTTCCATGTTCTAGTTTTATTTAAAGCTAATTTTTAGATGTAGAAATTATGTTTTACGAAATTATAATGCTTTCACCATATATCTAGCATATATATTCATTTACCTTATCAGCAGAAAATTTTCTCCTTATCAGAGGAGAAAAATATAAAATGCATAACTCTAATAAACTCGGGGAATGTAAGAAAAATTCTGCAAGGATAATGAGACATTACAAAAAAGCCCGAGGTTTAAGTTTCCTGAGGGAATTGAACTGAGACCTTGAACTAGCGATCAGATTTCCTACAGCGTCCCGGAAAGCCTGGCACTTTCGAAGTTAACTCTCAAGTTCACTTCATCAGGTTTTCATGATTTTTTGTATTTTAGAATTTATTTTAAATTTAGGGCTCCCAAATGTTTGGATTATTCGCCTTTGTTGCAGAACTGATAATCCGGCCTTCATTTTTGTGTAAAATAGTACAGATCAAGTCTGGGAGCAAAAAACCCCACACAAAACACAAAACGTTTGCGAAAGGCTGAAAGATCCAAAGGGCCGAGGCGAGAGCCCAGCAAGTGTCTCTGCTGAAACTGAGGTTTGCAGGATCCAGCCAGACCGAGGCAGCAAACTGCTTGCTGCCCATGGACCCCAGAAGGTGCAAGGAAACACCAGCGACCTCCGGGGCTAAGGCTTCGGTGGCGCGGAGTCAGCGAGAGATGCGCCCGGAAAACTACTATGAGCCGCTGCTCCAGCCCCGGCAACGCAAAGAAGCACTCACTGGCGGGCACAAGCTCCGCAAGGGACACGCCGACCCGGAAATGCAGTCGTAGCCACCGTAATTACTTCCGCTTCCCTCCGCAAGTCCCCGGCCCTGTCCGGCCCCCGCCGGCTGAGCCGCCCCCTTCCAAACTGCGCACGCACCTGTGTTCACTGCGCGGGCCTGTCGGCGGTCTGGGAGCGGAGACCGAGACCTGCTGGCCGGCGGCGGCGGGCGGACTGGAGCCTCGGAGCCTGTGGGTCCTAAGGTCCCGTGCCGCGGCGGTCGCGTCCTGACCCAGATAGCGGAGGCGCCGGGGGAGGAGCCCGCGGCCGCTCTGCCGGCCGCTCCCGCCCCCTCTCGCGGTGGGTTCATTTCCACCGGGACCGACGCCCAGTTCACATTTTCCAAAATAAAATTGCGCGCTGCTGGGCGCCTGGCTCGCGCCGGACCGTGTGGCTCGGGGCCGTCGCCTCCCTTCGAAGCCGGTTCGCCCCAGTGCGTTCCTTCTCCCATCGCTGCCACTCCCGAAACTCACCCAGCGCCCCCGCCAGCGCGCTTCGCTCCCACTCCCAAACCCACTCCCTCTCCCCTAGATAACCCTTTTTCTGTGCCCTTTCTAGGCACAACCTTGCACTTTGCTCTGCACGACTGAGTTAAACGCAGATGCCTTGCATTAATTACTGATAACCGCAGCCCTGTTTTCCTAGCGTTAACTCACGTTTTCTTTTAATGAGCAATTTTGCCAGCCATTCTGAGTTGCCTGTAGATGAAAGCCTCCGTCTTTTCAGATGCCTGACATTTAGTTTTACCCCGTTTTTTTGTGGTTTGTGTAATGAAACCAATTATGTTAAATACATTCTTAAAAACTGGGCCGAGCGCGGTGGCTCACGCCTGTAATTCCAGCACTTTGGGAGGCAGAGGCAGGCGGATCACCTGAGGTCAGGAGTTCGAGACCAGATTGGCCAACATGGTGAAACCTCTATCTCTACTAAAAATACAAAAAATTAGCCGGGCGTGGTGGTGGACGCCTGTAATAGCAGCTACTGGGGAAGCTGAAGCAGGAGAATCGCTTGAACCCTGGAGGCAGAGGTTGCAGTGCGGCGAGATCGCGCGGTTGCTCTCCAGGTTGAGACAGAATGGGACTGTCTCAAACAAACAAAAAACTAAGTTGTATTTGAGAAAAGAGCAGACTAATCCTTAGTCTCTCAGATTTGAAACTGTAAAATATTACCCTCTGCAAACACACTTTCACTCTTATTTATTATGGTTTACATCAGTCTTGCAATATAGTACTAATACTTGCTTTATTTAACTAGAACACAATATGATATAAACCGATCATGCAAAAAAAAAGTTTTTTAAAAAAGATTTAGATACCAAAGCAACTTTACTGTTTTATCGCTAATACTTAAAAGGAGCTGTTTAGTATTTAAAAGAAAATTTAAGCTTTTCCAGGAGCCCACGGAGTTGTTCACTGCTGCACCCCCAGCACATGGCACAGAAGAGGATTTCAATAAAAATGTGGCATATGGGCTATGAACAAGGCCTTGCCAGTCTATTTCAAGAGGAAGATGGCGGCTGATACTGACTTGATCTTCAAGTTCAGGACATAGAGCCAAATTGCTGGACTCCCTCTGTATTCTTATGTCACACTTGCTCCTTTCCAATACTTTTGTTTCTATTCCTTGATCAGTAAAAATTATCTGAAAAGTAGAAACTCAGGGGCAGTGATAACCATTGACCTTGGCAAAGCTAAAATTAAATATCAAAGAGAGACACTAACTTTGCCAGGTACTGTTGCAGGGGTGATATAAAAAAAGAAGAAATGATTCCCCTCACAACTGCTAGGAGTGTTCAGTCTAAAAGGAATATCTGAAGGAAAAATCAGAACACACTAAGAATCTCTGAGTTGCTGTTATTCATCACAACCAGTACAGCATTACAATCATTTGGGAGGAGTAGGTACAGACCCTTCACGATTTGCCCCAACCTGCTTTTCCAGCTTTTCTCCACTACTTTCACCAGACATCATTATATGCTTCAGCTCTAGCTAAGCTACCGATCTACAAGCTGTATCCTTTTTATCCTGTTCCTTGTGCCTGAAGTGTCCTGCTGCTTGCCATGTGTCCAAAACCAATTCATCTACTTTAACCTCTTTCCCTTGAGAAGCTACACACTCTCCTTCCCCATAAGAAGTATTCATCCATCTCCCATCAAAACTTATGGAAGGATCAGGAATTTAAATGAATACAAAACCCCTCCCTGCTATCTTACAGCAAACCTCTCTCATGTACACTATATATAATTACTGCTTGCCGGTGACTGTGTTTGGGATGCTGTGAATATATTCAAGGATCGTAGCATTTATCTTTCTATCGTGGGAACCTGGCATGGTGCACACCATTTGAAAAAAATTATTTGAAATAATGTACATTTGAGGGAAAAGCATTAGAAAATGTATGGTCCTTAATTATAGTAATGTGAGATGGGTGTGTCAATAGTTTTTTGTTTTTTGGGGGTTTTATCTGAGTGGTTTTATTTCCAGGAAGCAATTGAATGACAAAGTCAGTTTTAACCCTATAACAATACCAATATGCTATATAGTTAACTATTCAGTTTTCTTGTTCCCTGTTGTTAAGTATTTCCAAATCTTATCAAACTTACAACCTGAATTTCTTTCTTTGTAAACTGAGGGCTGAGCTGCAGGTGTAATTAGTACCACTATGGAATCCCCAACCCCCACTTCAAAACAGCAGAATCAGCCTTCTTCATTGCCAGGCTGGTTTTAAGGAAGTATTTTAAGGAAGGGGTTAAGGAAGTATTTTACTGCAAAAAGCTGGAGGAAAAAATTTAAGAACACCCTAACCATTGAGAGAGGGAGTTTGTGAGAGGGAGAAGTGCACAGGCAAAGAGCAGGGGTGGAGGAAGAAGTCCGTCAGGTGTAACTGAAGCTCTTAAGTTCCCCGAGTCATTTGTAGAGGAGGAGCAAACGGCAGCAGCAACAGCTGCAGCAAGACCATTTATTGAGTCTTCTACACAGTTTTCAAGCTTCATTCTTTGTGAATTATCTTATTCAATTATCTCAACAATTGAATGAAGTAAATAACATACAGGTGAGGAAACCAAGGCTTCAAGAGGTAGAGAAACTTGTCCCACGTCACATAGTCAGTTTTAGAGACACTAATCAAACCTAGCTTTATCTGAGAGGCTTTTCTCTTTAACCCCACCCAGTGGACCCCCGACCCTGCCTTTGATAGAACACTTGAGTGGGCTCTTCATAGCACCATTTACAGTTACATCATAGCCCTTCTAATGTGATATTACATCGTTTGTATCCACCACTTCAGTGATTTATGGTTCAGCTTTCACTGCTTCTGTTAGAGGAGAACCTGAATCCTCAAATCTGATCATTTATCCCATGGGAGTTTTCTGCAGCTTACCGCAATCTCTAATCCACAGAGTATAAAATTACTTTGTTTTTATGATATTCAGGATAGGCTAGGAATAGAATTTGAGGAAAAGAGGAATATAATATTATGTCTGATGTAGTTTTAAAAAAATTAGGCGCTCTCTAGAACACAGGAAAATTACAAAAAAATTTCTGAAAAGTAACTTGGATTTTCTAAGCTAAAAATGTTTTCTCTGAAAAAAGCATTAGGATAAACTTATTAAATATTTTCATTTGTTCCACTAAGTGATTAGTGGAACAAATTATTAATCACTTAATAAATTCAATAAAATGGTTGGCCTACTATTTCTATACTCAACAGATTAAAAATGGCATTTTAGAAAAATATGAAAGAAAAATTAACATGTTATACTATTTAGCAGTTCAATGTGGAATCAATTTATTAAAAATATACATACCTCATTAAGATACAGAATTCTTATTAGAAAGTTTCTATTTCATTAGAAAAATTAAGTTTTTGTCCAATGAAAAAAGTCATTTTCAGAAAGGCATGTACTAACCTTGCTCAGTGGTTTTCAGCAGTTTTTTTGTGACGATTCAAGAAAAGAATGAAGTTTCTTTAGAAATTGTGGAAGATTTTTTAAGTCACATTCCTCCACTGATTTTCCGTGGCCTTTGTAAATAAAGCACAGCCTTGGATACAATCTAAGATGGAACTTGACAGATTCAGAGGAAAGAGTGGTTTTGCCCCTCCCTCTGCATTCTTTCTTCATCCTGGGAGATGATGTTCAGGGACACTCTTGACAGTATATACATCAACTTCACAAGCCAAGGTCAGTTTCATTGGGCTAATTAAAAACAGAGGTGAATGTTCATCATCATCAGACAAAATGTTGTTAACATGTGTACAAAAATTCAAAATAACTGAATAGGCTTAATTACATATAAATAGAATAAAATATTTCATGTTGGGCTTGGATGGTAAGTCAATTTTATACAATATTCTGCTGGGAAAAAATGGGGTTAGCAGTAATCCAGACTTACTGTCTTCAGACTATATAAAGAAAAGTGATTTTCCCTTTAGGAGCAGATCCTGTTTAAGAAATTGTTCAGTAGACAGAGCCCCTGGGTATACAAATAAATCTACAGAGAGAATCTACTCTCATATATTGCAATAGAGACATTAATTAACCAACCATTGTTAGAACTTCTTGCATTTTATAAAAATTATACTGTCATTATAATTAAGACACATATTTGAACTCTCAGAGAAGACAGTCTAGAAAAAAATGAAAACTGAAAAACTACTGTAATGATTTTAGAAGAAAGCCTGACTAAAGAGAATAATAAACCCATATGTATTGTGATCCAAAAATTTTAATTTGATTGGAATGTGGGACATATCTTATCATGAAAATTTTGCTATAAATTGTGGTTAATTTCTGTGAGAAACCCATAAAACCATACCCTGTGTGATAACATACAGTATGGTTTTGCACTGACTTCTGACCTAGACCTGCTGATGTCAGGAAATCATTTATCTGTTGCTATAGCCTTGGCTGCCTCTGCTTACAAAACAAAAAACTGTACTTGTCGCTGCCAACTGCTGCAGCAGATAACTGTCCAATGTCCAATGGTCAGAAAAACCCTGCTCTCCAGCTATGACATCCACTTACCAGCTAGTGCAGAAAGAATCCTTCCTACCATCAGCCACAGGCTCTGCCAGGTTTCCAACAAGAAGACAATGATCCATTCAGCCATAGCACTCTTTGACTTTCTCACATGAGGCAAACAACCCTTAAGAAACAACTTCTTTAAAGAAATACCAACAACGACAAAGAAAGAGAATTCTGACAGTAATGACTTCACATTTACTTCCAGTATCACAGACCTTCCATTTCTCAAGCACAAGGGTGCTGAGAGGAACCTTTCTTCTAGGCATAAGGAGCAGCCAGTCACTCGTTGTACAAGAAGCATAACTCAAGGAGTATCTATTTAATAAATGAAAGATTCTTAATAAACTAATGTGAATAATTCAGGTATTTACCTACAGAATTGC